GGCTGGCAGCCTGTCCCCCCCGCTGCCGGCCCAGAGCAGCCTCCCCAGGGTCCTCCGTGCCCCGCGCCACTGTCGCCCTCCTCTCCCCCAGCCTCCATCGTGCTGCAGAAGTGGTGGTGCCAGATGGAGCCCTGCCTCGACGGGGAGGAGTGCAAGGTGCTGCCCGACCTCTCGGGCTGGAGCTGCAGTAGCGGCAACAAAGTGAAGACGACCAAGGTACGTCCCCTGGCAGGGTGCTGGGGGGAAGCCCGGGGCAAGCAAAACCCAGGAAAGCGTCCCCGAAGAGTTCTCAGGGGAAAGGGAGAGCCTCGGCTTCTCCAAACCACGCGCCGTTTGTTTCGGATGCAGAGCTGAGGGTCTGGGCTGTGCTGGTGTCACCGGTGCTGGAGGGGCCGGCGGGGGTAGCGCAAACCCCGAATGGGTCCCACGGCTTTGCTGATCGAAAACTCCCACGGGGAGGCTCGGGAGGAGGGGGCTGTGTGGCTCAGCCCGTGAGCAGACGTGTTGGGGATCTTTCCGTACGAGCCCAGGGCTGCTCTGCCGTCCTGGCTGCTCCCCAGCATCTCCCCGCTGCTCCGGGGCAGCAGGTTGCTCGTCCCAGCCGAGTGACACAGCCCTGAATCCGTCACCGCTCCTCCGTCTGAGGCAATCATCTGTGACAGAGTGCTACATGATTATTATTTTCATGGCTTGCTGAATGCCCCAAAGAACAAGGTATAATTAAAATTTTATCAAACTCATTAGTAATTACATATATGCCATGGTTAATCAGTTGCATAATTTTGTAATCATTGTTCATACTGTTGAGTGCAATTATTCCTTATGCTTTAGTTTTTCTCACCCCACATCCCCTGCCATAAAATTATCGTATTAAGTGATGTTGGGATTTTTTTTCATTATTGCTATTATTTTTGTGCACAGAAAGCACTTTCATGCTCAACTGTTTTTATGGATGTCCGAGAGGTTCCTCTGGCCCTGGGCATCCATCACTGACTCCTAAATGCAGCACTACGTTTAGCTCATTGTCTTTTTCCCATCTTAATATCGTTTATTTATTTGTCCCCCAGCTGCTGACTTAGCCCAAAGCCTCTGCTCCAGCTTTGCTGTCCTGGGCTCTCACTGGGGACCGTTCCCGTCTGCAGGACCCCAGGGCGTCCGCTCTCCTCCCTCGTCCAGCAGCCCCGACCTCCGTGGCCATCCTCCCAGCACCCCTTTTGGCTCCCTTGCCATCCCTTAGGCAGGCAGCGTTTTGGAAAGGCAGATTTATGTTTTCAAAAGGACTTTGGGTGATTTTGGGTGACTTTGGGTGCCCCCTTAAGAACTATGCCAGGGGATTTGCCCCTCCCAGACCCCCAGTGGAAGCTGTAGCCAGAGCACAGGGTTCACAAACAATCCATAAACTGAAATTTGGAATGACCACCCCATTAAACAAATGCAAAGAGCAAATCGGATTTGCATCTCCTGAGGCTGCTTGCTGACAGTTTGCGGACGGGGGAATGGGCTGGATGTGTTGGGTAACTCACCCCCTGCAAACAGATTGACCGTTCCCATCAGCAGGCGCCTGCCCCACTCTTCTCCTCTGCCCGCAGGTCACACGATAGCCTCCGTGCAACTCGGCGGCACGGACCAGCCTCCGTGCGGGTCCCCGGTGCTCTGCAGAGCCGTGAGCAGCAGGATGTGGCCCAGGTGATGCCTGCAGAGTCAGGATGCTCCGGGGCTGCTGTCCTGTGTCTGCTGGCGGGACCGTGCCAGGTACCGGATCAGAGCATCTGCTGAGCGCTGGCTTCCTTGGAGGCTGCAAGTATGGGACCCCGGCAGAGCTGCAAGACTCCTGTCACTCCACGGTCCCCTCCTGCCCCGTGGCCACACTCGCTGACCAAGAAACGGGCTCATTTTCCCATCCTCTTAAATAAAATACTCCAGTCATGTAAGAGCTGTTGACAATACAGAGACAGACAGACAGCGGTCCTCCAAAATGGGCTTTATTCTGAAATAGCTGAAATTATTGCTGTGAGTCGCCTTTCCCCATCTCCCAAGACGTTGAATCAGGGTCGCCGTCAGGAATTGGGAAGTCAATGGTTGTGTGAGCCCTCCGGTTTGGCTCACGGCTCCTGGCCCGGTGGGTTCCCAGGAGCGGGCACTGAGCTCCGGGCCTGACCTGGAATCGCCCCGGGGGGCTGCTCCGGCCCCGGAGCGTTGTGCTTTCCCTGCCCCACCGCCCGGCTGCTGTGACCATGTGTGGCTGACGCGGCGGCGTGGCCGGGGGTGTCTGACAC